GAGTTCGCAAACCGAGGTAAATTTTTGGGGCCGGAGCTGGTCGTAACCCGAAAAATTCACACGCAGAGGCGTTCGTATCCCGAGGTATCACTGTACTCAAGTGTTATGATCAACAAAAAGCAGTGATTTGGAATCACCAGAAAATATTTAATTTTTTTCTGTTGCTTTTTGGGTGGAGGGGGTCAATTCCCTCTATCATGTACATACATTGTTATATACTCCTCCATACTCTTTTAGCTCTATAGCCACTAATGGGAGCCATAAAGATGCTTCCTTCTCATTAGTATCTCTACTGGTTGTATACCCTACTTATTTCCACACAAGTTGTAGTACAGCATGTACCACTTTCATGGGATGTGACTGAAGACTGGAGTCTACAATTATTAAAATGTATTTATTAGATTTATTATCTCACCTTCCCTTCAGGAAGTCAACGCAGCATACAAAGCACTCCTACATACCATTCTCTCCTCCAATTTTTCCCCTCAACAGCAACCTTATGAGGTAGCTTGAGCTGACAGTAATTGAGCTAAAGTCACCCTTTCTTATCTTCAAAGTCTTCCACCTAAAATCTTCTGAGTTCTTTCCATACTGACCTATCTACTGCATGATTTGTAGAAGTTCTTGGACATGTTCCTGAATGGAAAACATGTCATACAAAGTACTTGTACAGGCCTCATATGCCTCTAAACTGCTAGAGAGAACTGTAACTTGCAACACATCCAACATTTTTATTGCAATTCTAGTTTATAGGAGAAGGTAAGTGGTGTCTTTTAAGGAAGTTTTTTTCATTCAGACTGATAATCTTCTGTATAGTAATCCCCCAATAAATTCTAAGAAGCACTATCTCTCCCTGCAATATTTGGGAAACCACTACTTTAATACATCCTCATTTGTAAACATGAATACTGTTCATAGCTCAAATTGAACACATAGAGAACCTGATTTCACCATCCACTGATCATATAAACTTTGCTGCCAAAGCCAACATGACTTACTTTCCATACATTAAGCTTTAAACAACAAACTGAATTGAAACATGTACCCCACCAACAGATTTGACTCCTTCTGAAAGAACCACGTAGAGTAGGAATGCAAGGAATAGAAAAGATGATATAGAAGCTTCCAAATGGTTAAAGTATGGTTAAACTAAAGTTTTATCTCTGTTAAAAGAGCTAGGACTGAAAATATCAAAAACTTAAGATATATAACAATATAATTTTGTCAATTAAAAAGTTTCTGATTTGAGAAGTTGTGAAACTGAGTTGTTGGAACTACATTTTGAATAGACAAGTGCTATTTTTGTTTCTTCTTCAGGATGGGATTCTTCATCAGAACTTTGCATTTTTATCTCATCATTCTCTTTTGTGGTAGAGATGGAAGATTTCAGCATTCAGACAATAAGATTCTTCTGTTCAAATCCTCTCTAAGCAAATTCATTATATGAATCTCAAATTCCAAGAAGAGGCTTCAGTTTTTTACATAATGTAAGGAAAGAAATGACTACAAAAAAGAAAGTAAATCTCAATATTCTTAATGTTTTAAATACGCAACACAATTATAGTTTCCAAGTTGATCCAACAATTGTTTTATCTAATAGCCAACCACAACATATGTCATCTCAGAAATTCTCACAAATGGATGGAATAATAAATGTTTCATTGACTGACCCATCTCTAAGAGGCATGACATTGCCTCCTATGCCCGCAGAGAAGCAGCAAGGAGCTGATGGCCTTTTAAATCTCAGTTCAGTGTTAAAGTGGAATGTTCTTGGCAATGAACGACACAATGAAAAGGGAACAAGATTTCCATCCTCAGTATTGCAGATTAATGCAAGCTGTGGAATCCCAGCAAATGGCACACTGGATCTATTAAACAAAAAACTAACTGAGAATGAATTGAGGGAGAAAATGGATCCTAAACTCTGCAAAGCTACAATGGACAAAATTAAAAAGTTTAATGCCAGTCACAACAACATGGAGACAGATATTGCAACCCTGATTTCAGTATTCCTTGAAATGAAGAATGTGTATTTAACTGATGTGAGTTATAACAAAATATCCATAAATGCCAAATCTGCAAAAGAGAGCCATAATCTGGAGCATAGCAATCTTCTGTTTTTAAATCTCAGTCACAATCCCCTTAAAACTCTGCAAACCCTTACCCTACCAAGAAGTCTCAAAAGCATAGATTTATCTTTCACACAAATTAACCAAATACCAAAAGAATTTGGTGCAATGTTTTTTCAAATAGAAGAGATATTTCTTCAGGGGAATCATTTTATATACAAACCTGAAACAGTTATATCTAATTTTAATCCTGTACATACAATGAGAAAAGAAAAGCATTCTTCTAGATCAGCCATTTCATATATAGATCTTCCTGAACACACTTCCATTGAAAGCCTCCCTACAAAGGCAACACGTCAAAGAACATCAAACAGTTCCACTGAAGAACTTCTAGAAGGGTTCCAAGACACAATGAATAAATGTATTTTTCTTGACCTTAGCAATAACCTCCTGCACAAATCCCCCTACCTATCAAATTCTTTGCGCTGCTTTGATTTAAGCAACTCTAACATACAAGGAATAGCTAATCCTAATCTTTTCCCAAATTTAACAGTGTTTAAAATTCGAAACAATAAAATAGAAAACATTTCACCAGCATATCTTCCAGACTCATTAGAGGAATGTGATGTTAGTGATAATAAGATACGTGATTTCCCTTTCCAGGGGGCTGAGCAAAGTTTAAAATCCCTTAATCTTTCTAGAAATCTTATAATGCAACTGAATCTGAACACTTCCTACCTTTCCCTAACTAACCTGGATGTAAGCCATAATTTAATTACAAATCTGCGGTATCACATGGGGAAATTTCTGCCTGAACTGAAATATCTAAATCTGTCAGAAAATAAAATCTTTTTTCTACAATCAGGGTCTCTCCCTAAATCCTTGGTTGAGTTGGATATCAGCAACAATGTCATTCTCATCATTATGAAAGAGATGTTCCACCATTTGACAAACTTGAAAATTTTAACAGTTCAAGGGAAATATTTTTTCTGTAACTGTGAATTATACTGGTTTGTAAGCACATACCTTGCTAACCCACAAGTGCAAATAAATGGCCGAGAAAGACTATTCTGTGGTTTTCCACCTAAAAAGCGAGGTCTTTTGGTGGAAAACAGTCATCTAACAATGTTGTATTGTTCTCTTCGTCTTCAAATCGGAATCACAGCTAGTGTGGCCATTTTGATTATGTCTATCATAACTCTACTGTGCTGGTATTTTGATGGTCCATGGTATGTGAAGATGGGTTGGTATTGGTGCAAGGCTAAAAGGAAACAATATGAGAAGAGACCAGAACACAAAATATATGATGCTTTCCTTTCATACAGTGAAAATGATGCATCCTGGACCAAAGAGATCTTACTGGAAAAACTGGAAGCCAATGGATTTAAAATATGTTATCATGAAAGGGATTTCATGCCAGGGCATCCAGTTCTTGGGAACATTTTTTACTGCATTGAGAACAGCCATAAAGTTCTTTTTGTGCTATCACCCAGCTTTGTCCACAGCTGCTGGTGCCAGTACGAGCTGTACTTTGCTGAACACAGGGTTCTCAGTGAAAACCAGGATTCTCTCATTATGGTTGTACTGGAAGATCTCCCACCCAACAGCATCCCACAGAAATTCAGTAAGCTTAGAAAACTATTAAAAAGGAAAACCTATTTGAAATGGAGTCCTGAGGAACACAAACAAAAGCTTTTCTGGCACCAGTTGAGTGCTGTGTTGAAAACTATGAATGAGCCAGTGCTAATAACACAAAGAAAAAGCTGCACCAGGAAACATAGATGAAACTGAATGAGGAGCAATGCTGATTGCTAAGTTGGCTTTGGAGTACTAAAAAAGTATCAAATACTTTTGAATAGCCATCATCTGAAAGATACATTTATTAGAACATAAAATGTTTTTTAAGTTATCTTTATAGAAAAGTGGTCTTTTAAAATCATATTTTCTAAGAAACATAATGCCATATCAAAAGTAGTTCTGTCTCCTAGGTCCTGGGGACCCGTGCCACTCTGGATCAATATGGATATTTATTCTTTAATTATTTTAGGTGTACTCTAAATGCAGAGTGCGACAAAGTGGGAAATGTGTACACTTGCATACGAAGTTTATCACAGATGCCACTGAATAGGATGCCACGATTGGCTGAGGCGCACAGTCAAACTGTACTTTTAGTGGCCATAAGATTATTGTTCTATATGTTTTTCTTTTCCTTCTTTTACTGTTGTAAAATATAGATAATACTTTATATTATTTCAGTACAATGGTATTTGTACAGTATTGATTAAAGGTTATTAATACTCTAATGTTTAGATAACTTAGACCATTGAAGATAGAGAGAGAGAAGCACTGTATCAGCATTAATTATGATTTAAAATGTCAATGTTAATAGGCAGAGATTATTTAGCTTTTTCATCCAGAACTAAATATAGCATTAAAAAACCACTGCAGATTGCATCAAAATATTTGTTGTACAATAAAGGTTTTTGTCTTAAGCTGATTACTTAATCTTAAAGTCTCCACTGTATTGCTATTTAATATTATTTGTTCATGTTGAAAAAAAATGAACAAAGCAAATTTGACAATGATTAAAATGCAAAAAGAAGAAAAGAAGAAAAAAAAGGCTAAGGTTTTTAATTTTAGGTTTCTAACTTCACCTCATCCCCACCCCTTGTGCTTCTACTAGTTTATAATATTCATAAACATTTGGGCCCCCTTAGAAGCCAGACTGTAAATGTTTATATTTACCCAGGTGTGTGATATATTGTATATACAGGAACCATTCTTGCTTAAATTAAAAATATGTAGTGGCATGAACCAAGAATGTGATTTATTGTAAGAATATTATATGTTCAAGCACTTCACCTACATTGGCTTTGATTCAGAATTTTTGTTTTTGAAAAGGTCATTTATAATTGTTTCTGTAAATTTACTTCCTTATAAATTTAATATATATATGATAACTAGGATTATCTAAGGCTCATCATAATTTCAAGGTTATTCTTTATTAACTTGTGAACCTCAAACAAAAAAGAAATGAGGACAACCATGTTTTCTAATGAGAGCACATAAAAAGAGTAACAGTAGAATAATACTTTTATTAGGGATAATCAAATGTCACAATTTAGAAAACTTATTTGTGCTGAATACAATAAAAAGGAATGGTGTAGAGGAGGTAATTAGAAATTCCTTCCTGCAGTTTGTAATGAAGAGGGTAGACTGCAGACAGAGGTTGCAATTTGAATATAACATCCTTGTCAGAGTCAGATTACACAAAATACAATTTAAATTATCCAGAAGCAATCAATGAATGGAGTGTCTCATTCCAGGCCAGGTTGCTGCTATTCAGCCACAGGGTAGAATGCAACTATAGCCTCAGCTTGGCACAGTGTCATCAATATGTTACCCTGGATTAGTGCTGTACATTTCCATACAGGCCTTCTCTTTTTATGTTTCCACTTCTCAAACTTCTCAGTGCTTCCTATGGCAGCTTCTCAGGGTCAAAAAGAATACGCCCAAGCATTGTGGAGAAAGCACAGGAAAGGTTAAAACCCACCCATTAATCCATGCTAGTGTACCAATACTGTATAATATATACAGTAATGCTATTTTTTGAAATCACACTCCAAAATGATAGACTAGGATCCACATACCTCTCCAACACTGAATCCCCAAGCAAAGAGTGGAGTAGTGGTAGCTTTCAAGCTTCAGAATGAAATTGAGCATGTGCATGATATAACTCTCATTATAAATGCCATCTTAAATATTAATAAAACAGAAGAAACGTAACTCTCAGGTGTGTCCACATGGGACTGTCAAAAAAGTCAAAATGGCAGCTGTACCCTTTTTATGGGTGTCATGTGTAAGAGGCAGGGCTTTAATTGCGCAGTCACATCTGCCATTTTCATGCCCTCCTAGCTCCCCAATAATTTTGGAATTAGAGCTTAGAACGTGGCATATTAAGTGAAGGACACACTTTTTCAACAGATCAGAATAAAATACATCAATATTTTTCATTGCTATTTGACAAAAATATGACATGTTTTGTCCAAAAATTGAAACAAAAAGTGTTAAGGTATCAATTTTCAGCATATCTGTTGGCTCAATTTGAAATTTGGCAGATTGTAGAACATAATCAAGTGCACAAAGGACATTATACTTGTTAGCTTTACAGATATTAGTTTTGTAACATTAGAAGGTGGGAGATTACAATGTCCTTTGACAGCTCAGTGAAATCACTTTAAACACCTTAGATCCTGGCAGATTATCTAACTATTAATGGCAAGGAATATTTTAGTATCCAGTATCAGCAGACAAAAATCAGGGTCCTCAGAATCGCGAAGCATCACTCTAGTGATAACTGCCCTTCTGATTTTTTAAAAAACTATTTTTCAATTGTTTTTCCTATCACTTTAGTGTTAAATACAACTTCAAGTTTCTATTTTAGTTCATTCTCCAATAAAGCCGGGGAGAGGGGGGAGAATATAGCAACTGCCACACATTATTTTTTCTCAGTCACAGAATTTTATTTGTTTTTTTGAGCCTCAGTGAAAAAAAATGATAAATATGCATTTTAAACTATTTCAAAAGTGAGAGGCTGAGTAAATGTCAGTAACATGAAAGGGAGTCACAACCCTGAACCTGGTACTAGATGTTTTTCCTTACTTTTTACCATTGTACATAACTACCATAATTGCCAGCTGCTAAAAATGTTCTGCAATAAATCAGTAATAGACAGAACTCAAAGTAGAAATCTTTTAAGAAGCAACATTGCTAAAACATACATTTTCAAGCACCATATAAACAAGAAAGCAAAACCTGATTCAGTTATAAAACAACAAAACACCGGTGATTTGTGGTAGCAGACATTTTGAGAAAAGACTGATCTTTGCTGGAGTCCAGAAAAAATACTTCTGGGGTTATAATACTGTACCCACAATGGGCTATTTAAAAAGGAGAAGCACTGCTAGTGAGATGGCAGAATATGGAATAGTAATTTGCAAGACACAAACAGGAGAACTTAGGAGACTAGCTAAGGCATTATCTTTCCTAGCCTGGCTGCTGCCTGACTGAAGGAGAAACCAACTCAAGGCATGGAAGGGCTGAACATTCATGCGCATGCAATAGTGGCACAAGATCATACTCTGGATGACTCATGGCACAACTTGCCAAAAAAGGGTAGCCACCATTGTGGTAGAACATTGGACACTGCCGGCTCCCACCAGCTACACCGAGGGCACTGGTATCTGCTTAGCAGAAGTACTGTCATAATCCCGCACTAGGTCATTTGTTGTGTGATAATGCATGGCAATGTAGGAGTTGGCATACCTGAATGGAGAGTTTGTTGGCTGCAAGCTGTTGGGAGTGCTCACTTCCTGAGAAGGGCAGCTGTTATAGATGCTATAATAAGGTTCAATGCGGGTATTCATGGGGGTGGAACTACTCTGGCCTCCTCCATAATGCTGATGGCCAACAGAAACTTTAGGGCTCAGCACACTTTCTTTAGAGCGACTAGGGCCACACGCTTGGTCCACAAACTTTTTCTGAGGCTTTGGAGATAGCATATAAGCTGAGTTGGTCTCATGATGAGATGATTTATTTCTGTTGGCCTCCAGACTCCCTTTGCCCACAGCTTGAAGCCGTGTTTTCTGCTTACAGCAGAAAAAAACAAAAGCTAAGTACTGCATGCACCAAAGGACCCTCCTCCTTAAGCCAGCACTGTTACGAGAATATATAAAAGGGTTCAATCCAGACTTTAAAAAAAAAAGTGCAAATCCACATAGTTCAAATTGATAAAGCCCTCCTTAAGCCAGCACTGTTACGAGAATATATAAAAGGGTTCAATCCAGACTTTAAAAAAAAAAGTGCAAATCCACATAGTTCAAATTGATAAAGCCCTCCTTAAGCCAGCACTGTTACGAGAATATATAAAAGGGTTCAATCCAGACTTTAAAAAAAAAAGTGCAAATCCACATAGTTCAAATTGATAAAGCACAATGCCACTGTTCTTGGATGAAACATCCTGTATCAAAGATATGCCCAATGGAAGGCAACAAACTAAAACAGAAAGAACGATAATAATGCAAGTCACCACAGCTTTAGAGTCCTTGGCCGTGGACAAGTTAATCATGGACACCAACTGGAATCTGCTGGCAGCAGATGCAGACAGTTGGCCAAAGTTCTTCATGTATGCATGTGTTTGGATGTGTTGCAGCTTGTTATAGTTTTGGTTTCTATACAGAGCTGGCACAGTGCACTGTACCCCATCAGCACATCCAGTAGCAAGCGATCCAGCAAAAGGCTGAGGCCTTGAGGCATCGACTGTGATGATGGGAGGACATTTCCTTACTTGGGCATTTTTCCTCAGGGCTTGGGCTATCATGATGTAAGAGACTGAAACCACTGTCACACAGCATATGAAGTCAATAACATACAAGTAAGGGATGATCTTTCCCTCACCACTGACCAGGCTGGAAATGGGAAGGCAAAGGCGAGATTTGTGGGTCCTCATGGTGGCCAGAGTGGCCAGAGTAAAGCTTGTGGCCCAGAGGAGCAGGGTGAGCAAGAGAGTGCAAGGGAAAGAGGCAGTCCGATTAGGCTGCTTCCCTAACACCATGCTTAATCGGTGAAGGGCAATAACAGCCACTGTCTTGAGGGACATGATGATAAACCCAGAACTGGTAAGGTGGAAGGTAAAGCAGAAAGCATCAGGGATACCAGCTGCAGAATCCAAAAAGAGAGCAAAGGTGAACATGGGGGCAGTCACTCCACAGATAAAGAGGTCACAGAAGGACAAATTGAGGATCATGAAATCAAAGTTGGTCCTGAACTTCCGGAAAGCTGGGTCAAAGAAGGACAAAAAAACAATAAGGTTGCCATAAGAACCCAAGCAGAAAATGACAGCCAGTAGGAAGGTACATGTAACTAAAGTGGCTGTGTGAATTATCTCCTGGAGATCTCCTTGGAAAGAAAAGGAGTCATTGCTGCCCCAAGATGGTGGAGGCAGTTGTGCTGAGGAATTTGAGCGATCTGTCCACTTCGTTTCAGCCCACTCCGTCAGGTTCATCATCACAGAAAGTAACCCTCTGCTGTCCTGCCACTTCAAAATTGTGAACTTCACATTGGTAGTTTGAGGTCCATGCTTGGTGAAGCCTATGTGTACAAATATAACCCCCCAATATCAAAAATTAGTCAATAAATATTAGAAGAGTTGTTAGTTTGCCTTAAAAGATTCTCAGCTCTCATACCCTACTACAAAACACACCCATGCACACTTGAATGACCCTGGATTTAATATCAAATACTAAGAAACATTTCACATATATTTTAAAATTGCCACATGCTGTTTTTCCCTCAGGTAAATATCACTTGAAGCTAGAGTCATCTGGTAAAAAAAATAATCCCTTACTGCTCATTTACTCGATCACAACAACACTGCCTTCCAATTCTTTCTTCAGGGGCAAAGAATTATGAGTTGCATTAAAGGATGTGTTTTTGATACAGAAGATCTGGGTTCAGTTCCTCACAACTCTAGATAATCCGTGGTTAAAACAGCTTTGTATCTCCCAATCGACATGGAGACTTTGTGACAACTAATTTAAATTTAAGAATATGATATCAGAAAATATGGAAAAATTCAAACCTATCCCTCAAGCATCAGTTTGGAAATATAATGAACTCTGGCCATACTGGAAGAGCAATGACCTGGATGCAAATAGAGGCAGGGAACGAACAGCACCCAAAATCTATGCGCATGGTATTTTGGCACTTGAAGCAGAGAATCCCATGTGAGCTTCTCCTATCAGCAAAAAAATCAGAAATAATACATTCAGCTTCTGGGGGAGTAATGGCAGAGTGAGGACGGCTCAATTTTTGCGGAGCCAACAAACATAGCAGGTTAGAGAAGCTGGTGAAAGATCCAGCTCTTTGGAACCATCTCCGGACAAAAGTGATGACTGGATCATCCATATGTACTCCTTACAGAGGCTCCCTTTGAAGAGATCGCAATTTAGCAATCTCCAGTGGGTTGAGCGCTCTGGGAGTTGCAGGAAACATCGAGCCCAAGCCGCAGTTTGGAGCCTCCAAAAAGACAATAGATTTGCTTTCACCTCCTCTTTTAATTACCATCAGAAATTACTTATTAACTATTTATTTGCAAATTATAAACCTTCTGAAAGGCAAGTTGCTGTACACCAGGATAATTTCCTTCTATCCTGGAAGAAAGAAGATTTAAGTAAGTTTAAAGATTAAAAAGAAAAATCTTAACTACTGGAAACAGCAAAAGGAAGTTAAGAATGCTGATGGGGGACAGTTAAGGGGCTACATGAAAGAATACTTTTTTTTTTTAATGGACTGTTTTAAATTTTATAAAAATACAGCAGATGATTTTGGAGTTAATTGTAAGAAAACCTACTGTGAGAAAGTTTTGCTTCTGAAAATAAACAAAAGATAAGACTGGGCTTTGGAGGTTAATTAGAGGGAACCAGAGAGCAATTAAAAGAAAAGATATACCCTAACGTAATGGAAGGACATTGTCTTACTATAGAAGAATTTAAATCTGTTTGGAAACAATGCATTCAGGACTTATTTTTAAAATTGGATCTAACAGAGGTTATCAAAGAAGAAAAGATTCTACTGGATAAAACAGAAGCTGAAGATGATTTGAATAAAGAGTTTAAAATGGACTTTAAAGAAATGCCAGATTATAAAAGAGATATGGAAGATATGGAATAAGATGTTATAGATCTGAAAATGAACTTAAAGATGTTTGATTACAAGAGCGACATGGAGAAAGAAGTTGTAATGGATATACAAACTATGCTGTTTGTATGATGTTTTAACAATTAAGGGGATATCCAGATTACAAATCAGAAGAGTGAGTTGGAGAGTTATTTTACTTTGGATCCACAGAAGGGAAGCGTTAAATCTGTGAAGTGCTTCTGAAAGCAAACAGGGAGAAAATGATAAGAAATCACTATGCGGGACTTCATTTGAAGAAGCGACTGAAGATCAAGCCTCTTAAAAAGAAGAAAAAGATCAGAAGAGTGAGTTGGAGAGTTATTTTACTTTGGATCCACAGAAGGGAAGCGTTAAATCTGTGAAGTGCTTCTGAAAGCAAACAGGGAGAAAATGATAAGAAATCACTATGCGGGACTTCATTTGAAGAAGCGACTGAAGATCAAGCCTCTTAAAAAGAAGAAAAAGGAGTTCAAAGTTGTGTAAGTTTTGATTTTGGGTTGTTATTATTGGAATCTTTTTTCTGACCAGGACTGCAAGATGATGTAAAGGTTTTTTTATATCGGGATGAATCTTTTATTTCCTATTTGTTAGAGAAAGTTAGAGGTTAGTATGTAAAAGGGATCTATTGGATCAAGTTTAAAATATACATATATGTTACTATTATTGACATTTTTTATGCTTATGGGGATATTTTTTTTATTTTTACGTACTAGAGAAAGTTGTAAAGTCAAAATGTAAAATAGATTTAGCTGTCTAAGCTTAAAACATATGGGTTATTATTACTGGTAGTCTTAATGCTTTTGCTGTGTAAAACTGATCAATCATTTTCTTTATAATTTGGTTATTGTTTAGTGGTGAGAAATGGGAAGAACAGTTTCTTTTTCTGTAATATCAGAGAAGGTGTTAAGTTACTATAAATGTTTATACTTATCTGGAGGGAGGAGGGAGTCACTTTTTATGTTTTTTTTTCCTTTTCCTTTTTCTCTTTATTGTTCTCTTTTTCTTTTTTGTTTATATATCTTTTCTAAATCTGTATTAGCTTTTAATTATGTAAAACTCTAATAAAAATATGAAAAAAAATCAGAAATAATAAATTCAATAGGAAACAATTTACTACCATTTATTTACACTCAGTATTCACTCCAACAATATAATAATAGTAATAGTAATAGTAATAATATATTAAACGTGTATGCTGTGTGGCTCAGAACAATTAAAGTAATTACAACAAAATCAGTAAAAGATAAAGATGGCAAGTGAGAGGTCTCACACTCCCTTGCCAAAGTCCTGGGTAAAGAGCCAGTCTTCACAGATTTTCTAAACAACAGCAGAGTGGAGGCTAAACAGATCTCAGGAAAAACCTCATTCCAAAGAGCAGGCGCTGCTACAGAGAAGGCACAATTCCAGGGTCCCGACAGATGACATTGTTTAATTAAAAGAACCCTGAGCGTGCCAACCCTGCAGGATAGAATTGGCAAGGCAGATGGTATGAGAGATGGGTAGCCCCTCAAGTAACAGGCCCTATGCCATATAGGACTTTGCAGGTAACAATTAGCACCTTGAATTGCATCCGGAAGTAAATCGGCAACCAGTGCAGCTTATGCAATAGAGGTGTAACATGGGCATACTGAGGCATGCCCATTACTGCTCACACCACCACATTCTGGACCAGTTGAAGCTTCTGGGAGGTCTTCAAGGACAGCCCCATGTAGAGCATGTTGCACAAGGTGACTAGGGCATGAGTGACTGTCTGAAGGGTCCCCCCCCCAATCTATTAAAGGGTGTACTTGATGCACCAGATGGAGTTGTGCAAAGGCCTTCCTGGCCTTTATATATAAATATAATATAATAAGGAGTTGTTCTAAAATGAAGTACAAGAATGTCCATTTTAGAACTGAAATGAAATGAGACTGGCGAGGTTGCTCCTTCTCCCATGATATTCTAATGACAGCCCTTTAAATACAAGGCCAGCCAGGCCTGCCACTGAAATTATAGACCAAGGACTGGAATAACAGCTTCTGAGCTTGTACTGGCATGTTTAGGAACAGAAGGAAGGTGTGAGACTGGAATGACAGGGTGGGACTGAAAGGGCATACATATGGGGCCAGGCTGTCTCCTGGAGTAGGATGTGAGGAACCAAAGCATGACCATGGGAACAGGAAAGCTTGTCTCTGGGCACAGAATGAAGGAACCAGAAGCCATGCCCACCATCTCAACTCTTGGCTTGTCAAGGGCCATCATTCCAGTCCCACACCTGTCATTTTATCTGAAAGAGCTGTCATCCCCATGCTCAGTCTGACCTTTCACCTTAAGGAGTGGTCATTTAACTTTAAAAATAATATGGCAGAAAAAGCCACATAAAGCATATCAGCTCATTCCAGTTTCTTTATCCCCTGCTAGTTTTGTTGTTTTTCTTTTTCTGAAACTATCCCATGCTTTACAAATATACAGCTGCCCTGATTCGAATGGAATTCAATCGTGTTAAAATTCTCAGAAGTACCTTTCTGGCCTTTAGAGAGTTCCCGTTATTTCCTAGGTATTTTCTTGGCTTTCTCTCCATATGCCCTTCCTTCCCCTCTTCTATATTGCTCATAAGAAAAGCGCTGGGCCTAGTTAGGAAGGGCTGGCGATTTCGAATACGGCCCGACCAGTCGAGCTCAGCCTAGCTTAGCCGGTCGGGTGCAGGTGCGCATCGAGCTAGTAGAGGCCGAGGCTCTCTTCACCCTCCAGGCCAGGGCGCCCCAGATGCTCCGCTCTCCGTCCACCCACCGACCGACCCGACGGAAGCGAAGCCCTCCGTCCATCCGCGGACCGGCCTGTCCTTACCAAGCGCGGGCTCCGTGGAGGCAGCCGGGGCCACGCGCCTCGCGCGTCCGTCCGCTCCCGGGGCAGAAGGCTGTTCCAGTGGGGGCTGCGGCTGACGGAGGGTGAAGTCATAGCCGGCGGGAGGGAGCGGCTCGACCTCGTCCGCCGTCTCCCTC